AAGTGTGTACACACACACACACACACACACACACACATATCAAAGCAACCATCAGTCAGATTCTACCGAACGCCTCTGCCCTCTGTCATGTAAGACGACTGCTGGAGTGACAGTTGTTGTTACATAACTAACCTGAAGTTCACTGAACCGACAGAACAAAAAAAACTCCACTCATATCCACACAAAATACTTTCACAGTACTGCATCAATTTTAGAAAAAAAAAACAAAAATGCTGATATAATTTTCTACTTTGTCGGATCAACAAACACAACGAAAAAAATGGATTTCTTATTATGAGTGAAAAGTGAAAGCAGATTAAATCTGAAGTGGAAATGGAAATCACACAGGTATCTTGTGCTGTTAGTACGACAAAAAATAAAAGACATAATAAAATAACTATATAATCTATAGTTCTGGCTTTAAAAATGTGGATTCTGGTTTTGAAATTGAGTTCGCCATTATAGCTTTGTTTACTTAGACGAGATCGTACAATTGGCTAATACAATGCGTACTTGGTGTACTATTGGCTAATTGAGCATGCTCAGCTGTCAATTGGCTCATCCATCGTTGCATCTCTCAGCAAATCTACTACAATAATACAGTCTAGGGAGGGTTGATAATGCCTCTACTTCACGATTTTTCCCATTTCGCAGTGGAATTTAGAACGCAACCACCGTGACAGGAGAGGGACCACTGTACTACAAGTCCAGACGGTTTTAAGTAGTTTGTTAATTACAATGATTTTGGAGACCTTTAAACACAAAGTGGAGCAGCATCAAACTCAGTGTCTGTGAGAGAGGTGAAAACACCCACAGCAGCCACTAAAGCCAGAAAGTCGTCAGAGTGAGATGAGCCATCTCAGCAGAATAAGACGAGAACAACCACAATGAAACTCCACCTCAACCAGATTAAAACACTTCCACTGCCTGCTACATCAACAACTGTTTACCCAATCTCAAGTACACACTGCAGTACACGTCTGATATTACTACGTACTGTATGTGTCCGGTAAATGGGTACATATGTCCTTTATCAACAAGATAATCTGCCTGTTAACGCCGTTATTTCTAGTTCTCACAGTATGGAATTCTTTTTTTTTTTTTTTTTAAGAAAATACATATTTTATTTATAGGGTCATGTCGTGTTTTCATTTTCAAGCCATCCTTAATAAATACTTCACAATCATTTTAGACAGAACACAATATAATCCTCAATTTCTCCATGTACTCTACATACAGATAGACTGCACTAAAAAGTACAGTTTTTTTATAAACGTTTTATGTTGTAATTAAATTGTGTTTTATTTTTTTATTTTTTATTTTATTTATTAATTTTATTATTTGATGTTTATTTTTAAATCCAGTCATGGGCTGGAGTGGGCAGTTCGGCGGGCAGGATTGGTCTGCACGGGGGCCGCCAGTTGATGATCACTGGCGTAAACCATCAATGCTAAACTCTGGACAGACACTTGGGCTGTACCTTAACGAGTGCCTGGGAAGCGGGGGGAGTTTTTGGTACTTGCTCAGACCTGGTCCCAGCAGGACAAGCCCTGTCCTTTAACCACTGGACCACAGGCTGCCCTCATCAGTTTGCTCTGAGCCTGAGCGAGGCTAAGCTAACTCTGCTAACACCCATTATTCCATTTATTCTTCAGCTTTTGCCGTGATCTCTGCATTGCTGGTGTTCTATTACTGTCCCCTACTGGGTTAGTTTACAACGCTAAATAATTACACCCCTGTGGAAGAACGCAGTACTACAAACACACTTAAAAAATGACAAAGGAAGACAATTTGCATACTTATATATTATAGTGGCGCTGGTTAGTAAACTGTGTCGCTATGCCATGAGAGCAGTAGGAGTGTGAAGTGTGTTTCTGTGGCAGAGGGACACGGTGTCTCAGCTCGAGTTTTTTCCTGGGAGAGACTTAACATGGGAAAAAACACATCGACCAAAACAGAAGCAGAGGTAAGAGCTAATCTCTGGGGATTACTGCGATCTACTGCCTTTCTTAACCACACTACAGTGAAAGAGACAAAGAGGGCTAATGGGTAAAGAAGGATGAGTAGGAGGGCAAAGAAGATAAAGGTGCTCAGAGTGCACAAGAACTGGTGAGGCAATGGACTGGTGTGCTGGGAGATAAGATGTAGAAACAGCTAAAAAATCTATCAAAAATGTATCAAAATGTCAAATCAAAATAAGGAACAACGAGGAAACAAAAAAAAACAGAGACTGTTGTCCTTAAATATAATTTACAAGCTACAAAAAAATAAATAAATGTGTCTGAAAAGCTGATATCACTACATGTCTGCTTTGCTTTAAGTGACTGGAGGATCTGTCAATGCTACAGCAGTGAAGTGGATCAAAAGTCACGTGACAGTGACTCCTCTTACCTCTTCTGAGGAAGGCATCAACAGGAGGGCCGTCAGGGTCTGCATATTCCATCACTCTCCTATCACAACACTGACAAGTCCTGCTGCACACACATGCACCTACTGGTTACACACACACAGAAACCATAGAAGTCATTTACTTTGAACTCCACATGCTGCCGTGTGAGTCAGTCAACATTAGTCATGTTCAGAAAAATCGTCCCGTTTCACCTGTTGCTCTGCTTCTAGCGGCTCGGCCGACGCAGACACTCGAGGAGATGAGCTGCCATTTCTCTTCCCTCGTCCTGACTTCACTGCTCTGTCATTAGTTTCACAGGACGGGTGCGCTCCCTGCACTCCTTTCTGTGCTCCCTCACCATGTTGGCTGTGGCTGGAGCTGGATCTGGTGAGTGTTATGTCATTGGCTGTTACGCAATAGCAGGGGATCGGGTTTTGCCAGCGCTCTGTGAGGAAATATAATCCCATGATGCTGCGGCCGCCGGACTCTGATCCTAAGCCAACAATACAGGACGTATTAAACTCCACTGAATGGATAAAGGCAGATTACAGTAAAAAAACAAACAAAAAACAAACAAACAACAAAACAGCCTCACTTTGTTGATTTTAGTAAAATATTTTTTTACACATAAAGCCCAGCTGTGAGCTTGCTTAAAAAAATGAACATATGTTAGTCCTTCTTAACACAGAAACCAAAAAGAAGAAGAAGAAAAAAAAACACATAAAGCCCAGCATTAAATTGTCAATATACATTGAAGCTGGTATTCAGGTCAGGCCACAGATTTTCTATGGGATTAATTCTTGTCTTTAATTAGATTAAATTAGATTAGATTTAACTTCATTGGCACACAGGTATGAACTTTAGTAAACCTCTGCCACAGTGGATCCAAAAGTTTAAGTAAGCAAATGCAACTGCAACATTAAGCTTTTTACAGCAAACAGCTGCAAACACGTCACACTACAGTTATAAAGTTTCAGTTCTAAACTTTCATCAACTCATTGCTTCGTTTAATTATCTCCTACTGCTTAATAACTTGTCAAAGTGGTGGTGGTGGGGGGACCTAAGACCAAGGGCTTAACCCTGATTTTCCTGAAACCCAGTCCAGGAACACAAACAATGTGTATGAAGACAAACAATTCACGCTCACATACATCCCTGAATAATTAGCCTAAACTGGCAACCTGATTTTGGACTGTGGCAGGAAACGTAACTGCAACGCAATGCAAAAACAGCCGAGGTGAAAATGTAGTGTGACGTGATGTTGGTTTAAACTTGATTTAGGTATAAACGTACAGCTCCTTTCTATCTACTTGTGATACTGGCCTGAAGTGTCACAGTCAGGCTGAATTTGAAGAACAGTTGCTAAATGAACGATAAAAACAACTGCCCCTTTCAATGAATCCCAAGCCCCAACACCTAATTCACACCCCTTCCTCAGACCCAAACAGACCTAGTGGTAAGAAAATCATTAGTCCTGCATCTATCTCCTGAAACACACACACACACACACACCAGGGGAGAATTTCCATCTGTACTTTTTTGAGGTTAAATGTGAGGGGCCCTCTGCAGACCACCAGGCCTTCACTGTGATGAGCAGAGAAACTAAAACCACACATCAGACCAAACTGTGAAATGTGTGAAAAAATACAGTTAAACAAAGGTTTTTTTTTCCCCTCATATTTACTGAAAACACAGTCGCAGCAATTCTGCTAACAGACGAAATGTGGACATCTCTTTTTTCAAT